AGCATAGGAGCCAAGTGTTGCATTGTTCATTGCCTCCACTCTGTACCTCTAGAACATAGAGAAAAGCTATCCTAACAGAGATAGATGGTGTGTTAAAGAGACCTATAACAGGGATAAACCTGAAATACAAACACCAAGAACGACCAAAGTCTGATACGTCTGATGGCACAGGAGACATAGATAGGTCCACAAATGAAAGAAAAATTTAGTGAAATAACCTTTGATGCAAAATAAATAGGTAAGAGAGGAACTATACAGAAGGTAGATATAAAGTAACATAGCTCTTTGTAGCCTTAAGGGAAACTTACTAAAAGGCTCTGGTGAATTGTTCCTATCTAGAACTAACTTAATCTACCAGGTTTTCAGCTGGATTTGATCCTAGTGTACAAATGTATCCTGCACGTAATTATCTCTCTAATAAATAGATTTGACTTGCTTCTCCTATCTAGCACTAAGCTATGTAGCTTTTTTAACAGTGTTCTCTATAGTGTCCATTTTTACCTATTTATTTTGCAATAAAGTTTATTTCACTGATTTGTTTCTTTCATTTGATGGACCGATTTATGTTCCAGGGAGGAAAAATGAGCCTCTGACAGAGTGCTGCCTGGAGCCATGGCCCCACCGGGGCCAATGGATGGACCAGCCCTGCTGGATAGTGTGAGATGTGGACCGATTTATGTTCCATATGCCTTTGGAAATATCAGACTTTGGCCGTTCTTAACATATAGAATATACCCTACCATAGCACTGCATACAGGCTGGTCTCTTATTCCATTCATGGTATCTTTCTGTGACACTGAATGCTTTTGAATAATATTGTCTCTTCACCGGCTACCAATGAACCTGATACTGGTCTGCCCTTTAGGTACAATTCCTAAGTACTAAGATCACACATTCAATCAGAATATGAAGGACTAATTAAATGTTTGGAGGGAATGTTACATGTGAAGAGCATGCATACACTTCTTTCAGTTACTGCCGATCTGTGTAAGTTCAGTTTGATAACACATCTCAGAACAGAATGTAGCTGATACGAACCTGAGTGGTTATTAACAGATAACAGAAATTGAACTCTCTCCAAATTCAATAATTAGACATGCATCCTAAGGGATTTGCAAGGAGGGGGTGAAGGACAATACTGGGAGTTAAATCATTTTAAAAGCCATACCCACACCCAGAGAGGTAATGCTTTCCCCATTGTTTCCAGACCTCGTGTGCCCTTAGAAGACATCACAGCCATGCCTACTAGTGGCATGGCTGTGATTGGCCAGTGCAGCATGTGACCCTGCCTCTGTATAAGCTGGAGCCACATGAGCTCTTATTAGTGTAGGGAGGGACAGATTAGGAAACAATTCTGGTGTTGAATCTGCAAATTACAGCGATTATTTTTGTGGGTGCTATACTACATTTTTGTACCCTGCCCTGAGCCCAGTGCCACAGAGAAATAAGCAATCAGTCTGTTTGTTAGGTGGGCACTTGCAACTGCATGTGTGCCAGGCACATTACTTTAATACTGTTCTGGTAGCTCAGTGGGCAACATCTAAGTATTTTTAAATACTGCTGTGACATTGCAGTTTAACAAATTAATTTTTTTTTGGTGCTAAAAAGTAAATTTGTGGCGTGCACTTCATATCAGAGAGTCAAATAGAACCGTCAAATACTGCTGTGACATTGCAGTTTGACTAATTCAAATTTTTTTGGTGCTAAAAAGTAAATTTGGGGCGTGCACTTCATATATAAGAGTGAAATAGAAACGTCAAATACTGTGGTTACATCACACTTTAAAGAAATTCATATTTATTTTGGTGCTAAAAAGTAAATTTGGGGCGTGCACTTCATATCTGAGAGTGAAATAGAAACGTCAAATACTGTGGTTACATCACACTTTAAAAAATTCATAATTTTCTTTGGTGCTAAAAAGTAAATTTGGGGCATGCACTTCATATCTGAGAGTCAAATAGAACTGTCAAATACTGTGGTTACATCGCACTTTGATTTCTTTAGTGCTAAAAAGTAAATTTGGGGTGTGCACTTCATATCTGAGAGTCAAATAGAACCGTCAAATACTGTGGTTACATCGCAGTTTGACTAATTCATATTTTTTTGGTGCTAAAAATTTTATTTGGGGCGTGCACTTCATATCTGAGAGTGAAATAGAACCGTCAAATACTGTGGTTACATCACACTTAGAAAAATTCACATTTCTTTGGTGCTAAAAAGTAAATTTGGGGCATGCACTTCATATCTGAGAGTCAAATAGACCCATCAAATACTTTATTTGGTGCTAAAAAGTAAATTTGGGGTGTGCACTTCATATCTGAGAGTCAAATAGAACCGTCAAATACTGTGGTTACATCGCACTTTGAAAAATTCAAATTTTTTGGTGCTAAGTGGTACATTTGCGGCCTGCGGTGCATTTCTTGCAGTCCAATAAAACCCTTAAATACTACTCTTACATTGTTGGTTTAAAAAAATCACACTTTTTTTTGTGCTAAATAGAACATTTGCGGCCGACGGTGCATTTCTTGCAGTCCAATAAAACCATTAAATACTACTGTTACATTGTTGATTTAAAAAATCACACTTTTTTGTGCTAAATAGAACATTTGCGGCCTGCGGTGCATTTCTTGCAGTCCAATAAAACCCTTAAATACTACTGTTACATTGTTGGTTTAAAAAAATCTAACTTTTTTGATACAGTGAAGTAACTGTATTAATTACGCCTGTCATACTGTTGTGTGACCTCTAGAATTTTATTCTCTTTAGGACACTGGCACTGCCTTACTGTCAGTGAACTTAATTGTTGACTATTGGCGGTTACATTGTCGCCTGCCATAAACCATCTGTTAGTTTGGTGGGTGAATGCAAAGAATGAGGAGAGCGTCAAATAAGGGACGTGGCCCTGGTCGTAGTGCTGCTGGTGTTAGTGGAGCTCCTGTTGCAGTGAGATGACATGGTCTATCTGTGCCAGCTACACACACAAGTGAAACACCTTCCTCAGGTGCGAGTAGGCGACAGAACCTTCAGTGTTATTTGGTAGGTCCGAATGCCGCTCTACGAATGGTGCGGCCAGAACAAGTACAGGCGATAGTAGATTGGGGGGCTGACAGTGCCTGCAGTTCCTTTACATTGTCTCCCACCCAGTCCCCTGCTGAAAGCTCATAGTTGGCACCTGCAGCCCATGGTCATGTCTTTCACCTCAACCCCTTGCAAATCAACCAAGCAGTCTGATCCACAAGTCATGCAGCAGTCTCTTATGCTTTTTGAGGACTCTGCTGGCGGGGTTTCCATGGGCCATCCACCTAGCCCTGCCCCAGAAGTGAAAGAGATTGAGTGCACTAATGCACAACCACTTATGTTTCAGGATGTGGACATGCGAGGACACCGCAGCATGTCTCTGATGATGACTAAACACAGGTACCAACTGCTGTGGCTTTCTGCAGTGTGCAGACCGGCAAGGAGGGCAGGGTTGAGGAGTGGGTTGAAGATGATGTGGAGGATGATGAGGTCCTAGACCCCACATGGAATCAAGGTCATACGAGTGACGTGTGCAGTTTGGAGGAAGAGGCGGTGGTCGCGCAGGGGCACCAGCACAGCATAAGAGGGAGCAGGGTGCAAAAGTGGAGCCACCATCCCCTAGACAAGTACGCCTGCTACTGCCACCGCACCCTGGGACTGAGCACACCAAAGCCAGCTCCAAGGAGTTCCCTGGCATGGCAGTTCTTCAGACAATGTGCTGACGACAAGACACAAGAGGTTTGCATGCTGTGCAATCAGAGCCTGAAGCATAAACCGAGGCATAAAAGTTATAAACCTGAGCACAACCTGCATGGCCAGGCATCTACATGCAAAGGCTCCTCCTGCTTCCTCTTATGCTGCTGTCTCGGCCTCTTCCTCCACCTCTGGAGTGACAGTGGCGCCTGCCACCCCGCAAACAGAGGATGTGGCAGCAACGCCACCACGTCCGCCACTGTCCCCAAGCATCTCCACACTGTCCCATGGAAGCGTTCAGCTGTCCATCTTCCAAAAACTGGAGAGAAAGAGGAAGTACCCCCCTACCCAGCCGCGATCCCTGGCCCTGAATGCCAGCATTTCAAAATTCCTGGCCTTTGAAATGCTGTCATTCTGTCTGGTGTAGATGGACAGTTTTAAAAACCTGATGGTGGTGGCTGTCCCACAGTACGTGGTTCCCAGCCGCCACTACTTTTCCAGGCGAGCCATCCCTTGCCTGCACAACCAATTGGTGGACAAAATCAGGTGTGCACTGCGCAACACCATCTGTGGCAAGGTCCACGTAACCACTGATACGTGGACCAGTAAGCACGGGCAGGGACGCTATATCTCCCTAACTGCACACTGGGCAAATGTAGTGGCAGCTGGGCCTGAGGTGAATAGCAGTTTGGCGTATGTCCTTCCACCACCGAGGATTGCAGGGCATTTATCTTTGCCTCCTGTTGCCTCTTCCTCCTACTCTGCTTCCTCCTCCTCTACCACCTCCTCATCAGGTCAGCGTAACACCTTCACCACCAACTTCAGTACAGCCAGGGGAAAACGACAGCAGGCTGTTTTAAAACTCATATGTTTGAAGGGGAAAACCCCACACCGCGCAGGAGCTGTGGACGGGCATGGAACAATAGACCGATAAATGGTTGTTGCCACTGAGCCTCAAGCCCGGCCTGGGGGTGTGCGATAATGGGTGAAATATCGTAACAGCTCTGGGCCTAGCCAGTTTGATGCACATCCCTTGCATGGCGCATGTGCTGAATTTGGTGGTGCAGAAATTCCTGAAAAACTACCCAGATATATCAGAGCTGCTGCAGAAAGTGCGGGCCGTCTGTGCACGCTATAGGCGTTCTCACCCTGCTGCTGCTCGCCTCTCTGCGCTGCAGCATAACTTCGGCCTTCCCGCTCACCGCCTCATATGCGACGTGCCCACAAGGTGGAACTCCACCTTGCACATGCTGGAGAGTCTGTGCGAGCAGCAGCAAGCGATAGTGGAGTTTCAGCTGCAGCACGCACCGGTCAGTCGCTCTGCACCAGACCTGCCCTCCAATAGATCCTTGTTAAAGGATTTAAAGTGTACTCATTCCAATTACAGGGCCTCGAAAGAGTCCTGTATTGTTATTTTTCGTCACTACCTCCCCGCGGTGGGAGTGGGGAATTTGCATGCCTGCTGCCTTCGTTGGATGTGGTAGCCGTTTCTCAGGCTCCCTCTCCGGAATCGAACCCTGATTCCCCGTTACCTGTGGTCAGCATGGTAGGCACAGAAAGTATCATTGAAAGATGATAGGGCAGACATCAGAATGCTTTGTAGCCATCACGGGGATTTGCGATCGGCCCGAGGTTATCTAGAGTCACCAAAGTGCCTGTGCAACGACTGTCGAGTTGCTCACATTCTAACTTGTGCTGATTACTGGGTGGGCACCCTGCTGGATCCCCGTTACAAGGAGAACGTGCCATCCTTAATTCCCTCACTGGAGCGTGATCAGAAGATGCGCGACTACAAGCGCGCGCTGTTATACATGCTGCTGAGGGCATTCCCAACTGACTCCGGGGGGGCTCAGTGGAAGCACAAGGCGAAGGCAGATGAGGAGGAAGAGGCCGCCAATGCAGGTGGGGCACCGCCAGCACCTCAGTAGGCAGGGTTAGCATGGTCGTAATGTTTAAAAGCTTTGTCAGCACGCCACAACAACCAGCACCACCAGCTGATATGGAACGTCTTAGCAGGAGGCAGCATTTCAGAAACATGGTGGAACAGTACGTGTGCAAACGCCTACACGTACTGACTGAGGGTCCTGTCCCATTCAACTTCTGGGTCTCCAAATTGGGCACATGGCCTGAGCTTGCCTTTTATGCCTTGGAGGTTTTGGCCTCCCCTGTAGCCAGTGTATTGTCTGAACATGTGTTTAGCACGGCAGGGGACGTTATCACAGACAAGCGCAGCCGCCTGTCCACAGCCAACGTGGACAAGCTCACGTTTATTAAAATGAACCAGGCATGGATCCCACCAGACTTGTCTGTACCTTGAGCACAATAGACATTTATCCCGGCCTCACCCAGCCATTGTTATAATCAAGTGCACTTATTCTTTGTTTTCTTTTTTTATATGTCCCAATATTTTGGGGGCTACCCCAATTGTTTGCAGGGCACTTGTCCTACTTTTACCCCCATTTTACTTCCTTTTGCAGCCTTCTAGCCCTTTCCAGGACTTTTTTAGAGCCATTTTAGTGCCCAAAAGTTCGGGTCCCCATTGACTTCAATGGAGTTCGGGGTCAAGTTTACGTCAAGTTCGAGGCCGAACTCAAACTTTTTGCCGATGTTCGACCGAACCTGGTGAACCCGAACATCCAGGTGTCTGGCACTATAGTAGTCTCCTGGAGTGCCCAACTCCCTCACGTCTCCCCTCCCGCGGGGCTGAAGTTGTTAAAATCCCTTCAGCCACTTACCTGAATCTAGCACCGATTTCCCCGGCACTGGGTCAGGCTCTGCCCATGCTCCTCCCCTCGCCGACGTCAGTGGCTGTGCGCCCTTTAGACCTCCCCAGAGAGAAGCAAATCTGATGCTGGAGGTCCGTGAGGACCTCCAGCGTCAGATAATGGACCAAAAGTCTGTTTGGATTCTGGAAGCCCTCTAGTGGCTGTCTGTTAGACACCCAGAAAGGGCAGACTTAGAGCTCCAATGTATACATTTGAGTTTCTCTGGAACTGCAATGTTTTACATTGCAGCACTAAGTGCAAAAGGGACGCAGCACCCAGACCACTTCTATTAGCTGAAGTGGTCTGGGTGCCTACAGTGTCCCTTTAAATAGTTATGTAGGTTGAATGAAGACATTAAGCTTAACCTTTCCCACTTTTGTTTTTGTTGTTGGTCGAAAAGAAGGAAAAAAATAACCAGTTTGAAGCACTTTACAGTTCTGCAACAAACCAGGAAAAAATTCCATCTCGACCCCAGAATGGTAGTCACATTTCTTCTTAGATCAAAATAGCTTTTCTTTTTAAACAAAAAGTAGATATCAGCTTCCTGGACTGAACAAGTTACAATTCAGTTTCAAATGTAGATGTTACTTTTAGAGAAACTCCACATTTTTAAGAATATCCCCAAATGATTTTTCCTATTAAGTTGTAACTTATTCAGTTTGATCTGTCAGTTAGGAGGTAAAATAAATCAGAATAGCAATTACAGCTCTTTAATCTGGTCTGTTTTCTTGCATGCAGTTTTACATGTGTCCACTAGAGGCATAAATAATAACATTTAGCCAAGTAGAATTTTCTTCAATACAGAATGAAAAGGAGAAAAGAACTGCTAGCTGCTGTTTGGAAGATAAATATTTAAATGCATAAATAAAAATATAAAGTCTGTCTTCCAGATTTTAAAGGAGCTAGATTAATGGAACCATTCTGGAAAATGAATTGCTAAACACATACCCTCCTGATGAACCAGAACACTTCTCAAACAGTACTTAAATAACAATACATGAACACGGGATATGGAGAAGAAGAGGTCCAGCCATATGTGATAGATAAATAGAAAACTCCACTTTCAAAAAACCAAAACCATAAATTTAGAAATAAAAATCACAGATAACATGATACTGAACAGCAGTATTGTAATCTCAATCTTCTAATATTCTAAACACTACTAACCCATTTTCTACACTACGGGACTTCTATTTTATTGCAAAATGCTCCCAGACCACGTTCCCCAACCTATACTGTAATACACCACTTACTAGAAAATACTCCTAGACCACGTTCCCCACCCTAGAATACTCCACTAGTAGTAATACTCCACCCATAGCAAAATGCTCCCAGACAACCTTTCCCACCCTATAATACTCCTGTAATACTCAACTCACTACGAAATCCTCCCAGACCACATTCCCCAACCTATAATATCCCTACAATATTTTGATATCAGTAGAGTACTACTGATATCAAAATAATTCCAGACCACCATCCCCATCCTATAATACTCCACTCATAGTAATACTCCACTTATATCAAAATACTTTAAGGGGACACTATAGTCACCAGAACAACTACAGCTTATTGAATTTGTTCTGGTGAGTAGAATCATTACCTTCAGGCTTTTTGCTGTAAACACTGTCTTTTCAGAGAAAATGTAGTGTTTACATTACATCCTAGTGATAACTTCACTGGCCACTCCTCAGATGGCTGTTAGAGATCCTTCCTGGGTCATGGCTGCCTAAAATGCATCCAAACATTCAGTGTCTCCTCCCTCTGCATGCAGACACTGAACTTTCCTCATAGAGATTCATTGATTCAATTCATCACTATGAGGAGATGCTGATTGGCCAGGGCTGTGTTTGAATCATGATGGCTCTGCCCCTGAGCTGCCTCTTTGTCAGTCTCAGCCAATTCCATGGGGAAGCATTGTGATTGGATCAGGCTACCACTTCTGATGATGTCAGCAGACTGCTTTTTTTTTTTTTTTTAGGCAAACAGCATGCAGATCTACAGCTTCTGGTTTGAATACAGGAAGATGCTGCTATATTTATGGAGGCATGAGGGGTCCAGGGGGGCTAGATGGTGATTTTAACACTATAGGGTCAGGAATACAGGTTTGTGTTCCTCACCCTATAGTGATCCTTTAAGACCACCGTCCCCATCCTATAAAATCCTATAATACTTGATTCATAGCAAAACAGCACCAAACAGTCTTCTCCTCCCCACTCCAAAATACTCCCAGCCCATGATACCCCTAAAATACTCTCCCCACTCAAAAATACTCCCAGCCCATGATACCCCTAAAATACTCCACCCACTCAAAAATACTCTCAGCCTTTCTACTTCATGATATCCCTGTAAAACTACATTCACTATAAAATATCCTGACAGTACCACCTAGTCTGCCTGTCTCTCTGTACGTCTATCTGTCCTTTAAACTAATATATTTGTCTTTCCTTTTGCTTATACGACATTGAAAGTTATTTGACTAACAAAATGTAAGAACATTTTCAAGTATGTTTAAGAGTCTTCTCAAAGAAAGTTGAAAAGGCTCTCTAGCTTGTTTTTCTATTTATTTGTAACATGTAGCCCTTACTCGTGTCTACCAGGTATATCAATTGTTTTCTTTGTGGTGTCAAAATATTAGCATCCACTAGATGTATTTCTAAGCTGAGATAATAAATGCCTTTGAATCCACTCCCATACAAATCATTTTTGGGGAATTTACCTGTGAAAGCTCATGAATAGCATGTGTTACCTTGCTACATTGTGCTTCCTAATGTGGAAGTAAGTTCTGAAGGGAAAATCAGGGCTTCTGACCAAGGGATGTCCTTTGGTTCTGAGGAATGAAAACCAGGGAAGTTGGTGACCTGATTCCCACCATGATACTTCACCCATGATCGCACTGTATTATCTAAGAGATGTTACTAGGTTTATTAACACCCAGTAACAGACAAGGTATGGGGTAAGAGACGCTGCTCCAGTTGAGCTTGCCTTGATTAGTAGGCTCCTATTTCTGTGGGTGTAAAATGTATCTGTCAATGACGTTTTTCTTTAGCATTACACTGTATTTTTTATCCCTATTTCTAAATCAAATTTCTGGTCTCAGTCAGTCTAGATGCAGTTGACTAGCAATGGTCATCAACTCTGGCTCCCTCCAGAGGTTTCTCTGCAAACTACAAGACAAAAAGGAACAATACAAATCACAAAACATGAATGGTAAAGATTGACTTATCTTGGCACATACATATACGCAAAGTGCTCCGGTTGTGTACATCCCCTCAAACAACTCTGCATTTGTCGTGGGACCATACATGTACAATCTATGATGCTCCCATGTTTACAGGAGCCTAATACGGATTCCAAGAGCCTGGTAGGATGCTGTAGGTCCTCGATGAGATGAGGACTTGTTTCTACAAAGACGAGCAAACTCTTGTGCAATATCTACATTAGCAAAACACGTGTGAATAGTGTCAGTTTATTGAATGAAGCTATCATGAATTAAACCCTGTTATGCCTATAACATGCACAAAGAATTTCAAATAGGGGAAATCAAATCCCTTTCAGTGGCAGTTCAGCAAATATGTTATTGTGAGTCTGTATAATACAGGATCTTCAGGCTAATCATTACATTCCTGCACACAGAATCAGACTTTGCAGTAAATTCTGTGATTACTTCCTGAAATACCATATAAGGCTGTATTCAGCTCAGCTGTAAATAGAGAATATTCATTATCCTCCACTAAGCACAAACACTAGGCGACAGCTTGAAAATCATACTACGGAATATACCTGGAGGAAGGTTCCTGCAAACATAGCTAGGAACAAAATGATATCTAATTAAGCACTAAGGGGACAATGAGGGAATTCAAATTGCTGGCCATGGTATTTTTGCTCAGTAGGAAATGTGGCTCTTAGATGCTTTGTTTCTCACATAAAAGGGTTACTCTACGCTCCATGACTATTTCAGAGATTTGAAGTGGTCATGGTGCCTGCAGTCTGAATGTGGAG